CCTCCACCCCCCTCGCAAAACGCATAGACGCCTACGCCCGCACCCACCTGTCCGAACCAACCTACCACCACTCCCTCCGCACCTACCACTACGGCCTCGCCATCAAACGCCACGCCTTCCCCTCCTGGTCCTTCACCGACGAGACCTTCTTCCTCGCCTGCCTGCTCCACGACCTCGGCACAACAGACAAAAACACCCGCAAGACCCGCCTCAGCTTCGAGTTCTACGGCGGCTTCCTCGCCCTCGAGGTCCTACAGTCCAGCGTCGAGCATCCCGCCGCCCAGTCCGGCGACGGCGCCGGCGCCGGCACCGGGACCGTCGCGCCCAGGGAGCAGGCGGAGAGTGTCGCCGAGGCGATCATCCGGCACCAGGATGTGTGTGAGACGGGCATGATCACGGCGCTGGGGCAGTTGCTGCAGTTGGCGACGTTGCTGGGTGGGTATTCCTATTCCTATTTCTATTTTCTGTTTCCCCACCCCGGGGCTATGCTATGTTTCCACTTTCCCCTTTCGGTGGTTGATGAGATCGGATAGATAATACCGGCGCCAATGAGCACCTCGTCAGTCCGCAGACTATTGAGGATGTCTGCGCGAGGTATCCCCGGAAGCAGTGGAGTAGTTGCTTTGCGGCGATCATTCGCAAGGAGGACGGGCTGAAGCCGTGGGCGCATTCCACCACGCTGGGGGAGGAGGAGTTTCCGGCTAAGGTGTTGGGGAATAAGCTGATGGCGCCGTTTGAATGAGAACTTACCTGTAGCCTAGCTAAGAGGGCATGAGCTTGAGGGAAATGGATCCAATGAGAAATTGCATTATCCATTCATCTGTCGTATGTATGTTGAAAGCGCCGCAAATGCCCAAGGCCAGCCCGAATGCAATTGTTTCTACCCGATTGCCCTCCTCCAACAACCCACCCATGGAAGCAAATCCTACCTATAATACATACACTCAATGCGTGAGTATTTCACATCATTTCGCCTGGCGAAGAAACTCATGCTCCTCGTCCTCGGGCACCTCCACCGTCCAGATGCCCAGCGACTCGCCTCCCAGTAGCCTCTTGCCAGGCTTGGCCCGGGTGTGAACCATCGCCTTACTCGACAACGCCAACGCGTCAACCAGCTCCGCCATCCGGCGCGACGCCACAAAACTGCGCGTCAGGTATTCATTCTCAGACACCTGCATCGCCAGGTTCATGCACTGCACCAGAATCTCGCTGGTGAGTACGTGGGCGGAGAAATACAGCGCACTGTGATAGTCCAGGAATAGCTCTGGGATGTAGGTCACCCGAATTTCTTCCAGCTCTGCCTCTTCCGCTTCTACGCCCAAGAAATCATTAGCAAGACTCCCGGCAGACCCTGCCTTGGAAGACAAAACTTACCGTCTGCGGCTGCAGTCAGCCATTCGTCCAGCACCGCATCCACATGCACGCTAATCTCATCCAGACTATATTGCAACTCATCCCGAAGATCCTTGATTGCGCCAGAGTCCCGTCTACGTTTGTTCCTAAATGTCCGATCAGTGAGCAGACGATCACCACTTCCAGACATAGTTCGATACGCACTTGTCAATTTTCTTCCAGCACAGGCCGAATCGCTCCAACGCGTCAAACGCCAGCGTTAGCTCCTCCAAGTCTCGCATCGTCTGCGACTGCATCACAAGAATATTTGTTTGATCATCCGAGGGGACGCCGTTGGGGATAGACCGATTCCGCTTGTGGGCAGACCCCAGCAGTCTCGACTTCGTTGGGCTACTAGGCTCTGGAGTCGCACGGTCACTCCCGTTTGGAATACCATAGCCGAACTCCGCCACGTCGAAACCAAACGATTCACGCGATATGTCGGATAGCCTCATACGTCGGCTCAACTCTCGTGCCGCAGCAAGTTTGCCGGACACTTCGCCGGGAGATATCAGCATTGTCACCCAAGCCCAAAAAAAAAGAAAGGTGACTTACAGTAGAATTTTCTATACAGCAAAGCGCCAAGCTGGCATATCCTGCCCCATTGTCCATCAACGTACCGGAGCCATTCGAGGCTGCGAATCAACCGCTCGTCTGAGCGAGAGATCTCGGTTCCGATAAAGTCTGTCTTCACTGGTACCAATTCGCGGGTTCCGTCGTCTCTGCGGACAACTTTGGAATAGCGCTTCAGTGTCCTCGTGTGCTCAACCGCAGAGACCGCGCTGCTAATCCAATTCCACTGGTCTTCCAAGACAGCCTCGACACTTATATCGTACTTCTCGATCAATCGAACTTGCTGCTTCCGCTCTCTTGGGTCAAGGATCTCGATCAGCACTCGGCCGAGCACGGAGTGGGTCTGTTGAGCAGGCAGCAGGGACGCGTAGAGTGGTATCGCCTCGTAGATGCCAGCATCCTCGAGATTTGCGATGTAACCAATGACATTCACAGATGCCGTCTCAAAGAATTGAGTGTCAGAACGGACGTAGCCAATAGAGCTGGCGATGATGTAGAGATGCGTCGCGATCCGCAGTGCATCGTCATCCTCGGCGGCGATGAGCAGCGAGTCGTCCACATGGGTCGGGGACAGATCCGGCACAAATGAATCTTCCGAGCCCGTCTTCGCCACTTGCGAGACCGCTTTGGCTAACGAGTAGAAGAATGTGTCGTATCCCTTGCCTAGGATGGCAGCTTGAATCGTGCGGTATGGATTGCGCGCCTCCACTCCAATGCGCTCGTTGCCCTTCGTGTACTGCACAAACTTGTTGAAATCACTGTATCCAACGGGCTCGGGAACGAAGATAACTGGCGCAGTAGGCGAGTGGCTCAGCTTGCGCTGGAACTGTTTGCAGAACCCTTGATAGCGTGACAGGACAACACTGTTGAAGTGGACGTAGAGGTAGTCGTCCCAGCTCTGACAGACCTTGAATGCGGCTTCGGTCTCCCCACAGAGCAGCGCGTAGACCGCCCGTTCAAAGTCCTCGATGTTGGGATTCCGCGCCAAGGCAGAACAGGCGGCTCGCCAGGACTCCTGAGAGCGATAGTTCATCATGCGCGTCATTCCATCATCAACAGGTGTCCGCTCACCCCCGGACTCGGGATCAACACTGGAGCCACATAGACTGACAGCTCTCCAGTTTTCCAGTCGTTCCTCGGCCCAATCCCGGATCTTGGTCCAGTTCTCTCCCTGCCTCAACATCTTCCAGCAGGTCATCCAAGTCGCGCGCTCGTAGAATTGATCCTGCTTCTGAAGGTGCTGCTTCTGCCGGGTCACCGCATCCGGATCCAATTGCGTGATCAATGGCTCCGACACGTCAGAAGTCAACAGAGACGCTGTAATGCCAGGGTCCTTGGGTTCGAGAGGCTGAGGCCAAGCACGAAGTCTCTTCTGTCCCTTGATGGTCTCCTTCGTGTAGAGCCAGCCATGTGTCCAGTGTCCCTGTCCTCGTTCCGCCTGCGATTCCAGCTCGGAGATTAGCGACTCGATATCATGAGGTGTAGCCGTTGCCGTGTGCTCCAGCCACTTCATGATGATCACGCATTCGAGTGCGTAGTGGTCTGCGCTGAGGAAATTTTCCCAGACTTCGCGATCAGACGAATACCGGTGGAGCTTCTGGAAGACAGTCTCTTGCGCTTTTTTGCAGCTGGCTCTGCTGGGCGGATCGTCAATGCTGATGAGGTTGAGGAGAAGTTGCCAAGTATTTGCCTCGAGCTGTAACCGTTGCAGCTCCTCCTCCGTCTTGGGATCATGCGATGCGGTGCCGTTGGTTCGACTTGTGCTCCAGCCCATTTTCGCGCGTTTCAGGGTGTTCTGCTTCGAGATATCGTGGATCGCATCTTGCGCGAGAACCTGGTAGCTTTTCACCAACTGATACGCGGCTTGGTAATTTCCAAAATCGTCAGCGCGACCTTTCTGCTTGAAGCGATCCAACCTCTCCGCAAAGGCTTCGATCTGGCGCGTCACACGGTCCGCTGTGCGGCGAAGGGGATGTAACGCTTGTTGTGCGCCGGCCGATGTGAATAAACCAAGGGTGAACACGTCCGAAACACCTACATCAGATCATGTCAGCACTTTCTTGCCAGTTCTCAGATACCCAGAAAAATATACCTCGGCCATTCGGCGCAGGAACGAGCTCTAACGGCGATTCGGTGCCATTCATATCTTCAGCGGACTCCTCCTCCGACTCGCCCTCTTCGTCGCCGTTTTCCACGCTGTCATCCTCGTATTCATCCCCGTCATTGATGCCTTCTTCCTCTTCATCTCCTTCATCGTCATCCTCCATGGGTTCGTCGTCATCGTCATCGATTTCAATAACCTCAGGATCGTTAAAGGTATTACGATGTGACTGCAGGAAAAACAGCAGTTAGCAACGTAATATGGTCAGCCTGCGCAACCCAACGCAAAGAACGAACATTGATCGATGCAAAGCCAGCAGTGGCAGCTTCAGAGCCCACCGCCGTGGACAAAGGAGCCATGAAGTAGACGCACGCACTGAACGTCTCGGAAAGATGATATCAATCCCTCTGATGCCCGGAGTCTCACCGGTTACAGAGCCTCCGCTTTTGGGGATGCGTTTCGCAAAAGAGAAGAATAAGTGTTAATGATAATAGTAGCAAGCTTCCAGCAAGGCTTGGGGCAGGACTTCCAGCACTTTTGCCCAGCGAAAGTTTGGGTTTCCTGTTGGCTGGGCGTTGTTTTGATCACTAAGCCTGATATGGACTAGCGCAGATACGCAGACACGCAATAAATTTTCATTTCCCACGATCTCTCTTCTCTCTCTTCTTCTTTTCTTTCATCAAATGTCTAATAGGCAATCATTAGAGTCTCGGGACGAGCAGCTTCTCTATCTTCGTTCAGGTCATACGGCCTCTTTGCGTGCTCAAGATTGTCTTAGAGCAATCTGGCAGTTCCTCAACTAGCCTAGCTCTTCTCATTGTGGGAGCTGAGACTGCAAAGGAATCTGTCACATACTTTCAACTTAACTACCGTAGACATGCCGACAGTTGTCCCCATGAAGAACGTCTCTCTATGTACAATGGGTGATCCCTGCAGGCGCCTCGAACAACCGCTCTAAAAGACCTTCAATTTCCCTGAGCTTGTTGTTTCATTCTCAGCTTGAGCAAACTTGGTTTAGGGCAACTGGAAGTTTTTGCATCCTCTCCTTTCTCTTGGTAGAAAGCATTACAGCACTCGTACAAGGCATTGATCTGGGCCTGGCATTTCTCTTCTTGGTATGAATGCTTGGTTAGGCAAGCTACTTCGGTTAGCCTTGAGTGTTGTCCGTTTGTGGCCATGATGCTAGCCGTAGGGGATCAGAAGTACCTTGAATCGCGCACTGGGTTGGTCAGTACAGACGTATCTATAGGATTGACGAGGATGTATTTGACCTACGGCTCTTGGATGACACGGAGGATCGTATTCCAGATCATCTTTCAGGTTCCCCTTGCGGTTCAATTGCTGTTAGCCACTTTGAGCCTCAATTCGCTTCGCTCTCGTAACTCTTACCATGACGCAATCATCCAACCTCGATCAACGCAAGTGAATGTGTTGAACTGGGATACTATGACCTTGAAAGCGGACGTCAATGGTAGAATTTTCTGAGAAAGAGATATGAGGGTATTGTAAATGAATTGTTTCCAGTGTTCCAAGAACATCTACAATATTATACTGACCTAAGGCCTCTATGCAACCTGCTTAATGGCTAATGCTCGACCTGCGCCGCAAAATAGATTCTCCGCCACTCTTTCACTCTGGCGGTGGGGTCCGTCGCCTTCCATCACCTTCAGCGCGGATTACTACTACAACTTCAATACTCTTTCACTTATCCAGTGTTTTCCCCTTTCCCCTTTGCTCATTTCTAGCGCTTCCTGATCTCTACACCGCCATCAAGAGCTACCGGTGAGTTTATGTTGCCCGCTGTGGCATCGATATCCCTTCACCTTATATGCGACTTCCCCACTTTGGCGCGAACACTGACAAGAGTCATGTCAACCTTAGAAATTTCCAAGCAACAGCAGTATTCTCATCCTCCAGTCTATCTTCTGATTCCCCCTTCAGCATGGCCGACAACGGAACACCAGGCGACGCTCCGGCCCAGGTCGAGCACCTCAACATCAAGGTCACCGATAACAACAACGAGGTCTTCTTCAAGATCAAGCGCACCACACAGCTGAAAAAGCTCATGGACGCCTTCTGTGAGCGCCAGGGAAAGCAGCTGTCTACCGTCCGTTTCCTGTTTGACGGTACCCGCGTGCGTCCCGAAGACACACCTGACACTGTACGTACAGCTTTCCTCTCTGTCTGTCGCCTTCGGACTCGTAGACTAATGACTTGGTTGCAATACAGCTCGAAATGGCCGACGGCGATACTCTGGAGGTGCACCAGGAGCAGATTGGCGGTTAGACAGGGTTCTCTGAGAGGCTCCAATACAATGACTTCCTTGTCTTTCACCTTTTTCGTTGTTCGCATTTTGAGAGATAACCGGAGTAGAGGTGTTTTCGTTGGCCCCGGCAAGCTTTGCTTGATCTGAGGGCTCTTCTGACTTTCAGATTTATGGTTTTTTCTTTGGGGATACAGACTTGCTACATGCTTTGAAAAGTGGGAAGAGCTAAGAAAATGTGAATAGGCCGTCCTGAACACTTCACACTGCATGGCATCTGACGCGAATGAATTATGAATCATATATGTCCTTTCATGGAAATTCTCTAATTCAATATGCTGGCATTGGCCTTCGTAGCCACGAATCAGGACATTATTAGAACAGGCCCTCCCAGGAACACCATAAGAGATGAAGATCAACTACTACTCAGAAACCCATCACCGAGAGCAAATCTGTACAAGAACTACGAGACATAAGACACTGCATCCAAACATATAAATCCCAATATGATCATTCATCCCAAATAGCAGCCTTCGCCCTCTCCTCCGCCTCTTTTCTCTTCGCCTCCTCCTCCCTTTCCCGATTCCTCCGCCGGATCTCCTGCTCCTTCACTGCGCGATCATACGCCCGCTGCTCCTCCGTCCTCTTCGGCGCCCGGATCCCCAACGCACCCGCAATCAGCCTCCCCGCAACAGCAGTCTGCTTCTCCGGCCTCCGCACCGGAGACCTAGACCCTGACCCTCGCGACGGAGACGAGCTCAACCCACGCCCCGGCAAGGGCGCGCTCGACACCCAAGGCTGGGACGTCTGCGGCGAGATGGGCGTCGGGGGCGGATCGAGCGGCCCCTCTGCGCTGACGCTGACGGAGGGCGAGAGGGTTGAGGGGTCGGGTGTAGCTGCGGACGATGGGCAGCTCTGCTCGATCTCGGACAGGGAGGGGTCGGAGTCTGCTTCGTCTTCCCAGGAGTCTGCGACGATGGGGGGCTTCTTCTTGGCGGAGGGTGTTTTCACTATTGGGCGGGGGATGTCTTTGATGGGGGCATTGTCGCTGAGGGAGAGTTGGCGGACGGACTGTTCGAGCTCCGGGGGGGCTGCTGGGATTGACATTGGTGGGTTAGTTTGGTTCGAGGTGTGTTTGCTGTAAGGGTAGAGGCGTGGTATAGCGAAGACGTGGTGGAGAGCTCGTTCAGAGGGGAAAGTAATTTGCAATGGAAAATATACACCGACCCTGGGATTTCTGGCTGGACTTTGCTGCCATGCCAGCCGGTCCTGAATCATAAAATATATATCCGACGTAGATAATTGATGGACGTTCGAGACTCAAGCCGCTGATTCCAGAATGCAAGATATTAATAGCACCGAGCTCTACGACGGAACAAAGGAATGAATGGCGTCAGTCGTGGAGTTGAACCCCGCCGATTATTTAGGGTTGAAGTTGTTGATTGGCTCTTCTGCTGTGCGCATCATACAGACAGTCCGACTGTTGATTTATTGCTGTTATTCTGTCCTGAACATCGCAGGCAGATGCCCTTTGATCCGAGTACAGGTCTCCCTTACTTATTGAGATTCAGCAGACCGTTCGATTGTCCGTCGTCCTTACGGTCTTACCTACAGCACCTGGAGAGCCCTGAGGCCCAAACGCATGTATGACATCAGATTGAACCTCGGTGTTGAGCGGAATAGATCTGGTCCGTCTTCACAGCTTGTCCGTCTATCCTACAATCTCTACAAGGCCCTTATGAATGGATATCTAGTATCCCAATTCTCTCTCGAACAACGAAATCAGAGCACGTGTGGCGCTCCCCGGCCATTTCGATTCCCGAGTAGAGGACTATTTTGCCCATTCCGAGAAGGCCAATCAGAAGATGCAGATCTTCTCGAAAAAGGCAAGCGGGGGTTCTCCGAGACCGGCGGCTTGTGAGCTGCTTTCCCGAGGTCTGTTCTATGCTCCATCAAGCGCCATATAACCGCCTCTTCTCCGCGAGTGATGGACCATTACTGAGTGTAGGCTGGGATATCTGCTCGCACTTGGGGAAGTCATCTCTACCTCAATCTTCGCAGGCGAGGGTACTTCTGGCGGTGCTCTAGTTTCTCAGGACTCCGGGAGAGTCGTTTATCAACTCTTGCCATTGGCACTAGGATGACTGGTCTACACCTCCTGCCTTTACGGGCACGGAGGACTCCCCTTACAAGACTCTCGCGATTTTCAACATCATCAAGGAAATCCAGCTATGCGGACACCCTTCCGAATCTCAAGATAGGAGCGCATACAAAAGTCTTGTTTCAGGGCTTCACAGGTGCGGTCTCAATTACGTGTCATTCGGTGGTATAAACTAACGTTCGTAGGACGGCAGGTATGTGTAAACTATGAATATCCAGGGCGGCCAGAATGATCTTGAATTGACAATCAAAGGCCACCGCGAATGTCAAGGAGTCCCTCGCATGGGGTACGAAGATCGTAGGAGGCGTAAAGCCCGGTGTGGAGGGTGAGCATCTAGGACTTCCTGTGTTTCCTTCAGTGCGAGCGGTGCGAATACCCCTAGCTTCAATTCTTCCATGACCACCACGCTCATAGATGCAGGCTCAAGAAAGGGCCAAGCCCGACGCATCAGCCATTTATGTCCCCGGAAACCAGACCGCAAAGGCCATTGAGGAAGCGATTGAGGCGGAGATTCCGCTTGTTGTCGCTGTGGCGGAGCATATCCCCATTCATGATATGCTTCGTGTTAGTAGATAGGCAACATTGAACTTCTCATATAGCTGACATCTTGCAGGTTCACTCTATGCTACAAACCCAGTCCAAAACCCGGCTGGTAGGAGCCAACTGCCCCGGGATCATCTCTGCAATTGGCAAGTGCCGTATCGGCTTTCAACCTTTGCCGTGTTTCTCCCCTGGGAAGATCGGAATTGTAGCTAAATCAGGGACGCTAAGCTACGAGACCGTCGCATCGACGACGCGCGCTGGTCTTGGACAGAGCCTGTGTATCAGCATGGGCGGAGATGTACTGGCGGGAACTAATTTCGTCGATGCTTTGAAGGTCTTCGAGGAGGATCCTGACACAGAAGGTATTATCTTGGTAGGGGAGATCGGTGGAACAGCGGAGATTGATGCAGCAGAGTGGATTCGAGACTACAACAAGAGGACCGCCAACCCGAAGTACGTACAGTCTGAATATGTTCTTGGCCCACCTGAGAACTGACACTACTTAGGCCTATCATGGCTCTTGTCGGCGGTCGAGAGGCCCCTCCTGGTCGGGTCATGGGTCACGCCGGCGCTTGGATAGCTCCTGGAGAGCCAGATGCAGAGGCCAAGCACAAAGCTCTCGAGAGTGCTGGAGTCACAATGGTCGATCACCCAGAAAAGTTTGGTCAGGGAATGAAGGCGCTTTTAGCTCACAGAGCCCTGACGAGTGCTACGGTAAGTCTTGCTTGATGGCCCACTTCATGGCGAGACTGAACAACTCTCAGTCCATCAGTTCTAGCGGCCAAAAAAGAGGCCTACATACGATGCGACGTCTCTCGCATGGTAGTAGTCGTGTATCGTCACGGTCGATACAAAAGCGATCTCTCTATGTCAAGGAATTTCACGCTCTCGACATGTTGAAGCAAAAATCTATCGCTGTGGACGAGGCAGCTCCTTTGGGTTCAGATGTATTGCTCACAATGACAGTGGACAGGACAGCATTGTCGCCCTGCATCGTTGCTTCAACCAGACCAGATCTTGCTGAAGCGTCTTCCGCTAGATTTCCATTTGCTTATACGACGCAAAAGTTCAGCAGTACAAGCCCAGTCCTCGAAGCTGTTGCTTCCCATCTCCAACTTCCAGAAACAGCACGCGAAAAGTTGGCAGAGCTGACACAGGCTCTTTGGCAGATCTTCAAGGAGAAAGAAGCCTACCTACTGGAAGTCCGGGCCAATTTCAGCCATGGGGAGATGCAAGTTCGAGGTGCACGTTTCGGGTTTGACGATGCCGCGTTCCGGAGCTCCGGACGTCAAGAAGATGTGCACCGACTCAGAATGAAGGAAGAAGAGGTTCCTGAAGAAGTCGAAGCGGAAACGGACGGCATCGTCTATGTCAAGTATGTGAAAGACAACAGTCTGCATCGTGGGTAAAGTGCTAAGGAGCGCCATACAGGTTACAAGGGGAGGGAAGCATCGGAACACTAGGTAAGCTTGCTCATCCTACAGAGTACAGTCAGAGCTGACCAGATAGTCAATGGCGCGGGCCTGGCGATGAACACTGTCGATGCTCTGTCCATCCATGGTGGTCACTGTGCCAACTTCCTTGACACAGGGGGCAAAGCAACTTCCGAGACGGTCAAATCATCCTTCCGGATCATTCGGTCAGATCCACGGGTCAAGGCCATTTTTGTCAATATCTTCGGCGGCCTGACACGGTGTGACATGATCGCAGAGGGGATCATCATGGCCTTTCGAGACTTGGAAATGAACGTCCCCGTGGTAGTTCGACTGCGGGGGACGAACGAGGAGATCGGACAGAAGATGGTCAGTCATAGATTATTGACTATCTATGGTATACTTGACTAAGCTGACTGGGTACAGATTGCTGAGAGTGGGCTTCCCCTGCATGCGTTTGACAATTTTGAGGATGCGGCCAAGAAGGCGATCAGCCTGGCCAGGAGTACATAGCCATCAGCCAGTCATGGTCCCAAAGTGTACGGTCGTTTGTTGTAGATCTCAGAACAGTACGGAGTAGACAGACATGAGACGAGACGAGAAATCCAGTTGTCATCCGTAGAAATGTCATCGTATGCTCAGATCCACCGTGGCTGGACTCAAAGAAGAGAGCCACGCAAGCTCCGATGATCGGTTCCTGGATAATCTTGTTTGTTAGGGAGACTGAGATTGACAAAATATTCAGGGGCAAATGCAGAAGAGCAATTGAGAACAATGTTAGTATCTTCTTGTATGTAGAAGTGAAGCACCAAGAATCAATGTATCAAACCAATTGATAGTAGTGTAGAAGTCCAATAAGAATCCTTAAAAATGGCATCATCTCGTCCTCCATCGACACTCCGTAGCAGGACTCCGATAATTTCGCACACCGGATTCACCCCGCGATCAGCGCCCCGCTCTTAATACCAATTGCTTTGGCCATTTTCTGCATACTTCAACCTTATATCTGGTATATCCTTCATCTTTCTCTCGCGCTCTCTCTCTCAATTACTTCCTCTCATCCTGATCTCCCCAAAAAACAACCACAATGGCCACGTACGACCCCCCTCTCCCCCTCCTTCAAACCGTCCCCACTAACCCAATCCCATAGAAACATCACCTTCCACGCCAGCGCCCTCACCCGCTCCGAGCGCTGCACCCTCCGCAACCAACGCGGCCTCACAATCTGGCTCACCGGCCTCTCCGCCTCAGGCAAATCCACCATCGCCGTGGAACTGGAGCACCAGCTCCTCCGCGACCGCGGCGTCTCCGCCTACCGCCTCGACGGCGACAACATCCGCTTCGGCCTGAACAAGGACCTGGGGTTCAGCGAGAAGGACCGCAACGAGAACATCCGGCGCATCGCGGAGGTGGCGAAGCTCTTCGCCGACAGCGCCAGCATCGCCATCACCTCGTTTATCTCGCCGTACAAGGCGGACCGGGAGACCGCGCGCAAGCTGCACGAGGTGCCTACGCCTGGCGAGGAGACGGGACTGCCCTTTGTCGAGGTGTATGTGGATGTGCCCGTTGAGGTGGCGGAGCAGCGCGATCCCAAGGGGTTGTACAAGAAGGCGCGGGAGGGAATCATCAAGGAGTTTACGGGGATCAGTGCCCCCTACGAGGCGCCGGACAAGCCCGAGGTGCATATCAAGAACTATGATTTGCCGGTGCGGGATGCGGTTGCGCAGATCATTGCGTACTTGGATGAGCAGGGCTATTTGCCTCCTAAGAAGGAGTAGATGTGTTGTTTTGTCATGATAGATCGTGCAGATAGAATCGTCTATACCAGTGATTGTACATATAAGGATCCAAGATGCAAAATGATACACAGAACTGTATATGTACGCTACTCAACGAGGTGGTATATAGTACCAACGAAGACAAATAAGCACAACGGAGTCAAGGCCAAGACCGCAGACCTTCATGCCGCGATCAATTGAATTCAAACTCATAGTACACATACGCAGTGTACTCGGCGCCTCCGCCTTCTGCGCCCGCCTGCATCTCGTGAGGGTCATCTCGCTTGACCCGGCCCTTCTTGTCTCGCCCAAAGGCATTTCCGGCGAGATAAGAGTATTTCTCGTCGAGATTCCGTTTAGCCTTGTCGGCCTGTTTCGAGTTTTGCGTCTACACCGACAAGTCAGTAATGGCGAACATTCACCGTCGCGAATCCAACATACCCTGATGATCGTGCAGACAAAATCTAGCGGCAGACCATACCGCAGCACGGTCTCAACAAAGACCCGCAGAACAAGCACATGGATCCAAACCATCACGGCCTCACTCCACGCTGTCCGTCCAAGCCGAAGGGTCTCCCCCCAGAGCTTGCGCTCATCCCCGCCCACCCGCTCGACCTCCTTTCGCTCTTCTTCCTTTCCACCTTCTACGTACTTGAAATCGCGCGGGATCCACTTGTGCTCACGACACCGGTGGACAAACTCTGGGCTGTGCTTCTTGAACGTTGTGACGGCGTAGAGGGTGAACTCGTCGTCCGAGGCCACGAGGGTCGCGGATCGGGGGACGACCATGGGCGCCAATGTCTCGTATGTCTTGAGAAATTCCTTCACTTGCTGAGCGGGTACGGCGACGAGGTGCGTTTCAATGTATTCGGAATCGCGGACAAGGGTGCGGGGATCAACGACTGATGCAAGGGACTTGGTGGAAAGGTTTCCTCTATGAACCAGATCCAAATTAGCAGAGTGGTGAAGCGAAAGAGATGTGCGCTCACGTTTGTTTGCGTTGAAGAGTCGCCAGCGTATTCTTCACCTGGTTGTATTGCGAGTACTTGGACCGAATGTCATTGTCAATACTAGCAGCTTCCTATGTACCATTAGCTCTCGCTATATCCTCATAAGATTCACGCTCAATACCTTCTGCAGAAGATCAATCAACTCCCCAAGCGGCTTATCAGCACGATACTTGACCTTATTCCACGAGAATGTCCTCAGATACTGATCAACGGGCTCTAGGTTCAGTCAGCAAGCAGGTTCCCCCTCCCACAACAGACGAACACGGCGCAGTGTAGACATACTATCATTGACAGCCTTCATCTTATCAATCTGCCCTTCATCTCCCTCAAGGACGTTCTTCAACGCATCTCCGACCTTGGCGACGACACCTTGGCAGGAGGCTTCGAGCTTCGCCAGCTCATCGGCTTGCTGCACCAGAGCGTCGAGGGTTCCGATCTTGAATTCTGGGATGGGAAAGGGTGCTACGGAGCCATTGTCGGGTGATACCGTGGCAGAAACAGCATCGAGAGCGTCATCGCGGTGGTGGGATGGAGTGATGGATGTGGGGAGCGAGACGAGGAGGTACTTGTTCGACTTGGACATGGTGCCGGCGGTGGGCGATACAGGACGGGCTAGTAGGATGTATAATCTTGAGGACAATAAAAAGGGCCGTCACACCCAAAGCGAAAGGAAGTGAGGTAGTCAATAGAAAGCTCGATGGACGTTGGAGGTCTGGTTGTATGGAGCTTGGAGCTGGCGGTCATCGGAAGGTCCGTCGGTGGAGGCGGTGGGCCATATTTGGCGTCACAAGATGATATTACGGACTTGACAGCAACGGTTCAATGATCATAAGCATTTTAAATTCCGTAGATGCTGAGTGTAAATCGATTGTGCAAGTTGTTTTCAGTTCATATTAATGAGAACTTTCTGCTCTTGATAATGCGGTATGTTCTCTACTCTAGAACCTATAGATGCCTTGAATTATGTACAGAATCGCAAAATGCTCCCATCTATACGCCAAAAACAAATAATACTTTATAAATCTCTATATCGTCCAAAACGCAACTTCTATGGTATTTGCATCCGCCTGTTCCTGGACACTATTAGTTCGTGACCTTGTACAGACTCGCCATGGCCTGAAATCATTGTCAGCACGTTACTTCTATATCCTTCGGAAAGGACTTACCGCAGCTTGCTTGGGTTCAACGAACAGAGCCTTTGCTTCCACCAGTACGACTGGCTCTTTACCGTCCTCGGGAAGAGTTTCGATTTGCGCCTCAACCCAAGCCTTCCGGCCCTCGACCTTGACCGTCTTCGCCTTCAGGACGGTATAGTTGTTGGCCATCGCCGGGCGTCGGTAGTCAATGTTCAGATTGGCCGTCACACCCACCTTGTTTGGCAACGCGGGGAAGCAGCACCGGGCCATGGACTCATCCAGCAGCGTCGCCAAAAGACCCCCGTGGACGATGCCAGGATGGCCCGAGACATCGGAGCCAAGGTAAAAGATCGCAGTCAGACTCTTTCCGCCCTCCTCGCAGAAAACATACGGCGGCACAACAATTCCGCCTGGGTTTGCAAGGATACCGGCCGTCAGATGACGCGCGCGCAATTCTTGCGGAATCTTCAAATGTGGTCGCGATTCGGTATAGGCCGGGTTTTCGCGTAAAGCAAGGGTCACTGGGTGATTGCGAATGTAGTTCTCGACTTCCTTCGTGAGCTCATCGGAGGGTACAAAGGCAGTGAGGGTTTCCTCGTCTGTGGGCATGCTGGCAGCCATCATGCGCGCAACAGTCTTCTGAGTCTGATAAGCGAGTCCGGCAGAAAATGCGACAATGGCAATGGCTGTGAATCCGACAATGCGACGTAGGCGCAGGAAAGGTTTAGAAGTTTGAGACTGCGCTGGAGCAGCAGATTAGTTAGTCTTATCCGGAGTCACAGGAACCTGATGGACCGAAGGTTATCACATGCATACCTGTGGAATACTGTCTGTTTAGATGAGGGCCAAGGAAGTGTGAACGAGTTGAAAAAAGCGGGAGCGTCCGATTGGGGATCTTCAGCAGGCGTTGGGATTTTGTAGGCAGACAAGAAACAATATACGGGCTGTGTTTGGTGGAGACTTCCCGAAAGAAAGCTGAGGATGGGATAGGCGGCCGCATGGCCAGAATAATTTGGAACGAGATGGGCCGGAAAATGGAGGCTTGGAGTTGGAGGTTTTCTCTAATTATGGGTCTGGAAGACTGACTTGAGCCAGGACACGGAGAGAGGGAAGAGATGCAGTGCCTCGGATGTTGTCAGGATTGGCAAAGACTCCCCAAAGTGGGCATGAGACTGATCAAGGGGCTTCTCAATAGCCCTCAAATAATACTCAACCTGAATTTTGAATCCCTTGAGTGAGCGGGATCTCAATCTCCACGTTTCTGGTCCTCTCTCTATTGGGATACAATGCCACAAAAAGAAGGCGGAAATGCAGGCCGATTGGCGGATAGCGGAGCGGATCAATCAAAGAACCTCGGCTCATAAAAAGATAGAGTCATGGATGACAATGAGAGATGATATGATGTTGATAGGATTGCTGTTGTAGATGCACATGTCGGTTATAAGTTGGCAGGATGAAGATGTTGTCCTTGAATATCGATGTCTGCTTGAATAGCCTCATTGTTTGCTTCGAGACGAGACTCTACCACCATGATTTCTCCTCTGGCCTTAGCTAAGTCTTATGAAACTCAATAACATCTTCAGCTGTTGTTCCTCATTCAATATCATCTAATAAGAACTCCCGCTATTGTTCGATGTGCTACTGCAACTGACTGTTACATCACTAATGCATCTATCTGCAACTTCGTCACCTCGGAGATTTATCTCCTCTCACATCCCAACTTCAAAGCCATCAATCAATAATTCCTCATACTTCCACCATCCTCCCTGACAAGGATGTATCAACCACCCTTGCTCAAGATCGTCAGGGGCATCGGAATGCATCCATTTCACTGACTCCAGTGCCCCTTGATAAGATTGCGGTGCGACGCGAGGATGCTGCTTTCCCGATTCCAACCTGACTCTGTATCTGGCAGAGAATCAGTTTTCATCCTTCTTTCCTATGCCTATGTAATAAACCCTACCATATTGCCATTCTTTATGTGTTATATCCAACTTTCAGTCGCTCGTTATGACTCGTTTATCATTGTTCCTTCTCTCTAGCATCCCACTGGCTTTGGCCGTGACCAACTCCACGTCTCTAGACTACGATGTTCTAGAATATGTCGATCCGCTCATAGGAAGTGCCAACGGAGGTGCGCTCTCGAGATGCTCTCGAGATAAGAATCTTGACTTGTGCAGAGGTTGTCCCTGACCAGATTTTAATAGGCAATGTCTTCGCTGGTGCATCGCTTCCGTATGGCATGGCCAAATCTGTAGCCGACACGGATTCCCAAAGCAACCAGGGGGGATTTGCATTTGATGGCAGCAATATAACTGGTTTTTCAAGTTTACATGATTCAGGCACTGGAGGAAACCCATCGCTCGGAAACTTTCCATTGTTTCCTTATGTCAAATGCCGAAATGACGATGTCAATGGCTGCATTTATCCGAAGAAACAGCGCAAGACCGGCTATCATGCGGACTCTGTCAAGGCTTCTCCTGGATACTTTGGACTGACCATGAACTCCGGCATCAAAGTCGACATGACCGTCTCCCATCATACATCCCTGATACGATTTCAGTTTCCCACCGACAATGCATCGAGCCCGCTCATCCTGCTAGATCTCACAGACCTGTCGGATTCGAGACAGGACAACGGAACAATTTCCGTCGATGCTTCTACCGGACGCATGACGGGCCATGCGCGTTTTCTGCCCAGCTTCGGAAGTGGATCATATGAGCCTTACTTCTGTGTTGACTTTCAGAGCAACTCTGCCATCCGCGATAACGGGATATTTGTCAACTCACGCGCAAGCACGGACGTGAAAGATTTGAAGATATCTCGGAGTATCAATGGATACCCTCTTCCTGTGAGCTCACTGAACTTGTAATATTCATCAGAAACTTTTTTAACATAATGCAGGGAGGTGCCTTTGTCCGTTTTGATGCCGCTTCGGATATTACCGTGCAGGCCCGAGTAGGTTTAAGCTTTATCAGCAGTGAGCGGGCATGCTCGAATGCTGAATCTGAGATTCCGGATTTCGATTTTGAAGTTACACACTCAAAGGCTATGGAGTTGTGGCGGGACAAGCTTGCCCCTATTCGCGTGTCCAGAAGAGGCGTCAATTCATCTCTTCTTACAAACTTTTACAGTGGCATCTACCGTACACTGGTCAATCCGCAGGATTACACTGGGGAAAACCCGCTCTGGGACAGCACTGAGCCGTACTTTGATTCTTTTTACTGGTAGGTTCAGTCTATTTCCAACGCAACTCTCCTAACACTTGCTAGTCTGTGGGATTCTTTCCGGTCTCAACTGCCCTTTTTGACCATATTCGACCCTAAGTCGCTGGCAAGAATGGTCCGCTCGCTGATTGATACTCAAAAGCATCTGGGCTGGCTCCCGGATTGCCGCATGTCTCTTTGCAAAGGTATTATCGACATGGTCATGGTTAAATTCGCGTCGACAAACTGACCCACTGTAGGGTACACTCAAGGAGGCTCCAACGCAGACGTGGTTCTTGCTGATGCATACACCAAAGGCATTTCCGACGGCATCGACTGGCAAGCCGGTTATGCAGCCGTTCAGAAAGATGCTGAGGTCGAACCGTACGACTGGTCAAACGAAGGCCGAGGTGGGCTGACCAGCTGGAAATCGCTGAACTACATTCCCGTCGAGGACTTTGATTACATTGGCTTTGGAACTATGACGCGCAGTATTTCCCGCACTCTGGAGTATTCTTATAATGATTTCACGATCTCGCAAATGGCGCATGGCATGAACAAAACAGACGATGCGGAAAAGTATGAGAGAAGCTCGGGTTCCTGGAGAAATCTGTTTCGTGAAGACCAGACTTCGCTCATCAATGGTAACGATACTGGATTCAAGGGCTTCTTTCAGCCCCGATACCTGAATGGCACTTGGGGATATCAGGTTGGTCTATATTTGCTGTTCCTCGCGAAATTCGCCGATTGACATGAATGCAGGATCCTCTGGCATGTTCAAACATCGACACGAGCGGGAGAGCATGCTCGCTCCAGAACAACGCAGCAGAGACGTTTGAATCCAGCATCTGGGAATACCAATTGTAAGAATCTTCGTCATTTCCGCTCATCAGGCTCACTGCTGACAAGTCTCCAGCTTCGTCCCTCACGATATGGCCGCTCTCGTTGCCCTTCTTGGGGGCCCAGCCCAATTCGTCCGACGACTCGACTATCTCCACGATCGAGGAATCACCTACATCGGCAACGAGCCAGCCTTTCTAACCGTCTTCCAATACCACTATGCCGGCCGGCCCGCCAAATCAACCTCTCGCGTGCACTTCTACATCCCCCAATCCTTCAGCCCCACACCCGCAGGCCTCCCAGGCAACGACGACTCGGGCGCCATGGGCTCCTTTGTCGCCATGTCAATGATGGGCCTGTTCCCTAATCCTGGACAAAGCGTGTACCTGATCACAGCGCCATTCTTTGAGCTCGTTCGCATCAAGTCTCCGTTGACGGGCCGCACGGCAACAGTCCGCGCGCAGAACTTCGACCCTACGTACCAGAACATCTACATCCAGTCTGCGACGCTGAACGGCAAGCCGTACACAAAGAACTGGGTTGACCATGACTTTTTCACCGAGGGAAAGAAGCTGGTGCTTGTTCTGGGTAGAAATGAGAGTCGCTGGGGAACAGCCGAGGAGGACTTGCCACCTTCCGTGTCGACTAGGGGTACGGGGGCCTATTCTACGGGCCTCAGGCAGAGAACGGTTGATTTCGACTCCGCTGGATTGGAGGTGAGGACAGTCGGCGAGTATGGCCACGGGAGGCGAAGACATTACTCTTTCCCGTTACCTTACCGGCATCATGCTGTTGGCAAGGAATTTACCCATCCTTAGTAGTTTGCAAGATGAGAAACCACTGTATAATTGCTTCCAGATATAATTATGAGCAGCCTTAGCGACTGCCTTTGGCCCTTGTTGAATCACGGACGAACATTTTATGATACCGTCATGTTGAAAATGGACCGAAAGAACCCTAGAAACCAGAACGAAGAACAGATCGAAAATCCAACAGCCTTGATCGTAACTATTTACAGAGTATCATGAAAAAAAAGGCGGGTACTAGAGGAGAACCAAGTCACTCATGCCTTCGGCCGATAGAACTTGCTCTCCACCCAAGGCATACTCGTAACCGTCGCCTTGCGGATCTTATTACGCACCAACACACCGACCTCGGTGCCCTTCTTGTGCATGCCGTTCTTGATATAGCCCATGGCGATATTGGTACCGCCCAGCGACGGACTCGGCAGTCCCGAGGTAATGACACCAATCTGCGGGTGCGAGTCATTGCTCAGGTCGACGACGACGGCGCCCTCGCGCGCGGGACTGCCCTTCTCGACTGTGAATCCGACCCGGCGCTGCGAGAGGGTCTTAGCGGGGGACGCGAGCTGCGGGAGGATGGTGGCCGCGCCGTTGAAGGTCGCCGTTGCGGGGTCGCGGCGGTCCTTGCCGACGACCCAGCCCAGGGCTGCGGTGGGGGGTGTCTGCGCGGTGGAGATGTCGTTGCCGTAGAGGCACATGCCTGCCTCGAGGCGGAGGGAGTCGCGGGCTGCGAGGCCGGCGAGCCGGACTTGCTCCGGGTTGGCGAGGAGGAGCTCGGTGACCTGGGTTGGGAGGGAGGGGCAGCCGGC